TCTGATTCCTGTGTCCTCCATCTGGCAAAGTTCACGTGTATAACTGTTGTTAATGTTATTGAAAAAAGGTATCTGCAATGAATAAGTATTTAGTCTTGCAAAATTCTATCATGCAATATCCAGCATCATTTCTATCACCAAGGCCATATTTTCCAATTACTGGTGACTCTTCTTTGTTTTCAACTTTTGCATTTTAATCACCAGTAATAATCAACACACCTTGATTGAATGTTCTGTTAATTTCAGACTGCAAAAGTTGGTAAAAATCTTCAGTTTCCTTATCTTTGGCTTCGGTGGTTGGTGCATAAATAAACAGTAGTATAAACTATCTTCCTTGTAGGCGTAGGATATAATCTTATCACTGACAGCAGCACTATACTTCAGGATAGATCTTGGAACATTCTTTGTGATGATGAATGCCACACCATTCATCTTCAATTTATCATTCCCAGCATGTCAGACCATATGATTGTCTGATTCAAAATGGCAAAACCAGTCCATTTCAACTCACTAATGCTTAGGAGGTCATCTTTATGTATTCCATTTCACTTTTGACAACTTTCAACTTTCCTTGATTTGTACTTCATACATTCCATGTCCCAATTATTAATGGGTGTTTGCAGCTGTTTCTTCTCATTTTAAGTCATGCCACATCAGCAAATAGCGGTCCTGCAAGCTCTCTTACATCTGCATCATTAAGATTGATTTGAGGAGGTAGGTCTTCCCCAGTCATATTGTGAGTGTCTTCCTACCTGAGGGGCTCATCTTCCAGCACTATATCAAGCAAAGTTTCAGGGATATTCATAAAGTTTTCCAGTAATAGATCAGACAGTGTTTCACTGCTATTCATAAGGTTTTCACTGGCCAATTCTTTGAGAAGTGGATGGCCCCTTCCTTCTTCTGTGTCTGTCTTAGTCTGGAAGCTCCACTGAAACCTGTTTACAATGGGTAACTCTACTGGCATTTGAAATACTGGTGGCATAGCTTCCAGCCTCAGAGCAACATGCAAGCCATCACAGTACAACAAACTGACAGACGAGAGGTGGATATGTGAGCTCTCTGGGTTAAAAAAAAAAAAGCACCTACTACTTTGTTCATTGCAAATCTTTCCTCTGTAACAAGCAGTTGGTAGTCTAATGGGATGAGTTCTGGATCTTCAGTCAATCAAAACCTGAGACACTGGGTTTATAACACCTCACAAAACTGATTCCTGTACTTGTCAAATCCATCTCCTATCTATCAATTTGGTTAAGTCTTGATAATTTATGGAAAACATTAATCAAGGCCTATCTTAAAGGATGTAGGAGTGAAAGGTGGAGGAGAAGAATCATGAGTTCAGGTCAACTCTTATTCAGGGAAAATTAAATAAACAGTAGAGTAACAGCAGAGGGGTATAGATTGAGGTTAGGACAATGTCTCATATGGACTTTTTGCAAATTTCCTATTTGG